CCCGTACTCTCCCCCCCCCCCCCCCCCAAAAAAAATATGCCATTGACAGTTGCAGCAAACTGTTCTTCAAACTTTACTGCTAACTTACAAAATATATATAATAAGATAAGTTTGACCAGCCACAGGTTGCATAGAAGTCATTCAAACTTTCTTTTCTCAGAGTATAAAAAAACACGGACCATAAAAATGTACAGTATTGGGTGGACTTTGGATGCCCGATGGTGGCCCCCTCACCACAACTGCCTGAGCACCGAGGTTGTGAGAAGGTCTTGCAGAGAGGTCGCCACAATCACAAAGGGGCGAAGGCAAGTATCCAACGTTTCTGGCAAGATACGGAGAGGGTCTGAGGCTGGGATCCAAGTTCATGAAAGTGTCCTCATCACTTCTGGCGCTTGGTTAGGGTCCTCAGGAGGTGGAGGGGAGTTCAAGAATAAGGAGGTTGGCTTGGACCTCCTCATGCACAGTTGCCCATCACTTTGACCAGAGAGCTCTCTGGCAGCTGTCTGAAGATGCCCCTGAGGGTCTCCAACTCCCTGCTGAGCTGTTCCACCCTCTTCCTCAACTTGTCGTTATCGTTGGACAGCTCAAGGACCTTATGTTGGGTCTCAGCGTTCCTAATCTTAGCCTTGTCCCTGCTCTTCCTGACTGCTATGTTGTTCCTCTCCCTCCTCACCCTGTACTCGTTACTGCTTTTGTCCACCCATTTTTTGGACTTGCCTCTGGTCTCTGAGGACGATGAGGAGGTAGAAGACGAAGAAGACATCGCCTTGGACGAGGAAGCTTGCAGGTGGTGGAGATGGTGGTGGTGCGGGAGGTGGTGAGGGCTTGGCACTGGGGTGGGTGGAGGAGTCGGGTGCCCGGGCTGCAGGTGCACAGTGGTCTGGGCACAGTGGGCTACCTGGTACTGCAGGTGGGATGGGTGTTGGCTTGCAGGGTGAGGGTAAAGGGCAGCTAGAGACACCCGGTTGGCCTCCTCCTCCTCCCTGGGCTCCTGCTTGATAACCAGGGGCCTCAAGCCACTGTCCAGCTTGTTGTCCATGTAGGTAGCCATGCAGCCATACATCGGGGGGTGCCCGGGAGCCCCTCCAAGTCCCTGGTGGTAGTCTATGGTGGCCTTGGCTCGGTCCTGTTTGCTGTTATGGAAGAGATCGGCCAGGAACTCGTCGTTGAAGGCGGCAGGGTCGATGTAGGCGCTGATGTCTATGGAGTTCTCGTTCTCGCACAGCTCGGTCACGTCCCCGGTGGCCGGGGGCTCCCTGTAGCCGTAGGCAGCGTGCTGCTGAGCTTGAGGCTGCTGGGCACTCATGGATGGCCGGGCTTCGACCTCGTAGAAGTTGGCTAGCTCCATGGAGCTTCTATAGCCAGCCAAGCATGGTGACGAGCTCCGGGAATCCAGGGTGAGCTCGGGCTGACTTCGTGCGATGGTGCGGTAAACTCTGCGACCAGGTGACACCGCCAGCTGCTGCTTTATGATTGCGGGAGCGGAGCTGTCACTGTATATATAGGCGAGGGGTGGCGCCGCGGCATCTAGTGGCCGCTCAGGAGTACTGCACCCGCCGCTGCGCTGCCCGGAGAAAGCGATCATCAGCGATCGATCTTCCCTGCTGCGGGCGCCTTCAGCGCTTCCTTCCTTCCCTATTTTCTGTATCATGGTCGTCCTTGCTTGCGATCCCTGCAGGATGACCCTGGGCTCTGCTCTCTGCCGGCTTGTACTGGTCTTATTTGCAGCTTGCCCTTTGCACCGGCCAGGCTGCACATAAAGATACCGAAGTGCAGACTTTTTATTGCCTGGGCTGTGCTGGAGTTGTCCATCCAGGACACAGTTGTTGGAGTAGAAATCAGGTGAGGGGGTCACAGTGCAGCTTCTATGTGAACTGGACACCTGAGCCTCAGAGGTGTATTTCTATTAATGTATATACTGTATATGTATAGCATATGTACATGTGTTTAGCACACACTTCTGTTACTGACTTGCAGAGGAAGCAATGAGATTCGTTGTTGTAGCCACAAATTCATTCTGCAGCTTTATGTGTAATTATTTCTCCACCTTCAACTTATTAAAACACTTCTGTAAGTGCCATCTACCTCTCCGACAACTGGAACCTAACTCCCCTTCAATTGGAACCTAACTCCCCTTCAATTGGAACCTAACTCTCTTTCAAGGGGAACCTAACTCTTCTTCTTTAGGAACCTATCTACCATTTAAGGGGTACCTCACTCCCCTTCATTGGGAACTTAACTATCTTTCAAGGGGAACCTAACTCCCCTTCAATGAGAACCTAACTCCCCTTCAATGGGAACCTAACTCCCCTTCAATGGGAACCTAACTCTCCTTTAATGGGAACCTAACTCCCCTTCAATGGGAACCTAATTCTCCTTTAATGGGAACCTAACTCTCCTTTAATGGGAACCTAACTCTCTTTCAAGGAGAACCTAACGCTCCTTCAAGGGGAACCTAACTCTCCTTTAAGTGGAACCTATCTCTCCTTTAAAGGGAACCTAACTCTTCTTCTTTAGGAACCTATATACCATTTAAGGGGAACCTAACTCCCCTTCATTGGGAACTTAACTATCTTTCAAGGAGAACCTCACTCTCCTTTAATGGGAACCTAACTTTCTTTCAAGGGGAACCTACTCCTTCATTGGGAACCTAACTCTCCTTCATCGGGAACCTATCTCCCCTATACGGGGTACCTAACTCCCCTTCAATGGGAACCTAGCTCTCCTTTAAGGGGAACCTAACTCTCCTTCAATGGGAACCTAATTCTCTATCAAGGGGAACCTAACTTTTCTTCGTCAGGAACCTATCTACCCTTGAAGGGGAACCTAACTCTAATGGAAACTTAACTCTCCTTCACTGGAAACCTATCTCCCCTTTAAGTGGAACCTACCTCCCTTTTAATGGGAACCTAACTCTCCTTCAATGGGAACCTATCTCCCCTTCAATGGGAACCTATCTCCCCTTCAATGGGAAACTAACTCTCCTTCAATGGGAACCTAACTCCCCTTCAATGGGAACCTAACTCCCCTTCAATGGGAACCTATCTCCCCTTCAATGGGAAACTAACTCTCCTTCAATGGGAACCTATCTCCCCTTCAATGGGAACCTATCTCCCCTTCAATGGGAACCTATCTCCCCTTCAATGGGAACCTAACTCCCCTTCAATGGGAACCTAACTCTCCTTCAATGGGAACCTATCTCCCCTTCAATGGGAACCTATCTCCCCTTCAATGGGAACCTATCTCCCCTTCAATGGGAAACTAACTCTCCTTCAATGGGAACCTATCTCCCCTTCAATGGGAACCTATCTCCCCTTCAATGGGAACCTAACTCTCCTTCAATGGGAACGTAACTCTCCTTCAATGGGAACCTATCTCCCCTTCAATGGGAACCTAACTCTCCTTCAATGGGAACGTAACTATCCTTTAAGGAGAACCTATCTCTTCTTCAGCGGTATTCCAGCTCTCCTACAACTGAGACCCAACTTTCCTACCTCTTCAACTTAATGTGTATTTCCACTTTCGCAGACAAATTTGAGAACACCCCTCTACACTGTATTCTTACACATGTACATGTTTATAATTGGAAGGGTTTCGTCTCATTTTCCCATCAGAAGAAAGTGTATGTAAACCCGAGCGATAGTTTACATTATTGTGGTGCGTTATGTCACATGTTCAGGGTCACGTGAACCTTTAAAGCCTTCAGATTTATAATGTGTGTGAAATGGGACGCCGGATCAGCCCAGCAGACCCTTGAAATGAACTTGCACTTTTTTTTTTAATCCATCGCATCACAACACACGGATTATTCACATCTAAGAGTACCGGTGCACTAAAATGAAGAAAAGCAGATTCGGGGGAACCTATCGTACGAGGCAATGAGGTAAGGGCTTCACCTCATAATCATCCTCTATGCAAAACAAGCGGTTCCTTCCACACGCCATCTAAAACAAACAAAAAAATGAAATGGAAACTCTCCACTTTGCTCATCAATATTCCTCATAAAGCGCCATGAGCCGGATTACCTTATCTTTTCTCTGATTGGTGGCCCGGTGCCTTGTGGGGTTCCAATCTTTCTCCTCTCATAGACAGTCAGGCTGTAAATGGATGCCACCACTGATGTGCAGGGTTACGGTGGTTGGGTGCAGGGTAAGGAGGTTGGGTGCAGGGTAAGGAGGTTGGGTGCAGGGTAAGGAGGTTGGGTGCAGGGTTAGGGTGTTTGGATGCAGGATTAAGGTGGTTGGGTGCAGGGTTACAGTGGTTGGGTGCAGGGTTAGGGTGGATGGGTACAAGGTTAGGGTGGTTAGGTGCAGGGTTATGGTGGTTGGGTAGAGAGTTAGGGTGGTTAGGTGCAGGGTTACGGTGGCTGGGTGCAGGGTTAGGGTGGTTGGGTGCAGGGTTAGGGTGGATGGGTACAAGGTGAGGGTGGTTGGGTGCAGGGTTAGGGTGGATGGGTACAAGGTTAGGGTGGTTGGGTGCAGGGTTAGGGTGGATGGGTACAAGGTTAAGGTGGTTGGGTGCAGGGTTAGAGTGGTTGGATGCAGGTGTACGTTAGTTGGGTGCAGGGTTGAGGTGGTTAGGTGCAGGGTTAGAATGGTTGGGTGCAGGGTTAGAATGGTTGGGTGCAGGGTTACAGTGTTTGGGTGCAGGGTTATGGTGGTTGGATGCAGGTGTACGGTGGTTGGGTGCAGGGTTGAGGTGGTTAGGTGCAGTGTTAGAATGGTTGGGTGCAGGGTTAGAATGGTTGGGTGCAGGGTTAGAATGGTTGGGTGCAGGGTTAAAGTGTTTGGGTGCAGGGTTATGGTGGTTGGGTAGAGAGTTAGGGTGGTTAGGTGCAGGGTTACGGTGGCTGGGTGCAGGGTTAGGGTGGTTGGGTGCAGGGTTAGGGTGGTTGGGTACAGAGTTAGGGTGGTTGGGTGCAGAGTTAGGGTGGTTAGGTGCAGGGTTACAATGGTTGGGTGCAAGGTTAGGGTGGCTGGGTGCACGGTTGGGGTGGTTGGGGGCAGAGCTGTATCCATCCATTCTGTCCTGAACACACCCAGCCGATGGCGAGATAAGTGAAATAGAAGTGAGAAGTGAAGCGGGGACACTCATGTTTACATTGCTGCCCCGGGGACAAGGAGGCTGAACCGAGCAACCTGACTCCCTGCAAAGGCATCAAATATTTTCCAGATTGTTGTGTCTCTGTGTAGCGTGTGATAATTGTTCTAGAACACCCCACCCATCACCAAGACCGCTTCTATCCCATTGCACAGATCTGTCCTAAGCTGGGCACTAAAGTGTACCTGTCAGGATCAGGATATGTAAGCAGCCAGGAATGGATTGCTTGTGAATAAGGACTTGTGTCAGTGAATTCATTTCTCAGGTGATGAACGATCTGATATCAGGTGCAGTAAATGAATTGCGATGTATCTGCTGCGGATCTCTCGCTCTGTGGGGTAGTAATGATGGCCGTCCCTGCAGGAAGGAAATTAGAGGTGATTAGTCCTGGGGAGGGGGTTACATATGGATGAAGATATCGCACAGACAGAGGAAGGAGTAGGGATTACTAATTACTAAAAACAAGCCAGAACCCCAGGGGGGAGGGGATGTTTGTCATTACAATCCTGCACCCCACTGTGCACTGTGCAGGTGTCTACTACACTGAATCATACAGCCAGCACCGGCACTACCGGCGGGAGCCGAATGATGGAATGGTCACGTTTTGTTACATTTCCATTTTTAATACCAAACTAACATTAAAGAAATCCGTTCTGGGCCGTGTCTCCGCTCTGGGCTGTTCCTCTACTCTGGGCTGTTGCTTTTGTCTGGGCCGTTCCTCCTCTTTGGGCCATTCCTACGCTCTGAGCCTTCTTCTACTCTGAGCCTTCTACATTCTGAGCCCTTCTTCTACTCTGAGCCTTCTCCACTATGGGCCATTCCTACGCTCTGAGCCTTCAACTCTATGGGCCATTCCTTCACTCTGAGCCTTCACCACTATGGGCCGTTCCTTCACTCTGTGCCTTCACCACTATGAGCCATTCCTTCACTCTGAGCCTTCAACTCTATGGGCCATTCCTTCACTCTGTGCCTTCACCACTATGAGCCATTCCTTCACTCTGAGCCTTCAACTCTATGGGCCGTTCCTTCACTCGGTGCCTTCACCACTATGAGCCATTCCTTCACTCTGAGCCTTCAACTCTATGGGCCATTCCTTCACTCTGTGCCTTCACCACTATGAGCCATTCCTTCACTCTGAGCCTTCAACTCTATGGGCCATTCCTTCACTCTGAGCCTTCACCACTATGGGCCATTCCTCCACTCTAAGCCTTCTCTGCTCTGGACGGTTTCTTCACTCTGGGCCCTTCCTGCTCTATGGGCCGTTCCAACGCTCTGAGCCTTCTCTGCACCTTCTCTGTGCTGGGCTGTTACTCCTCTCTGGGACGTTCCTCCACTCT